GGGAGCTCCCACCCGAGGGGCACACAGCATGACCACGGGGTGGCTGAGCTTTCCCAGGGCTGGAAGTTGGCGAGTCTGGGAGAACGTCTTCTTGAAAGATAATTATTGGAACCCAGAGAGGGTCTTGGAAGAAAACTATCAGTACTTCTGTGCACGGGAACATCCGTGATGAATGACAGTCACTCCAGTTGAGGGTCAAGAAAGAGAGGGGGCTCTAGAGACAGCTGAGTCCTCAGAAACGGGTGCGGTGGGACAGAACCCCAAAACGGCTCCGTGCCCTGGGCCTCCCGTGGAGACAAAATCACTATTTCCACGTCCAGCAGCCCCGAGCAGGGGTCGCCCTGCCCGCCCCGTTGGAGGTGGCCGCCCTATCACCATGCCCTTCTGATGGGCTAACTTGAGGTCAGCGGCAGTGCCGCTGCCCAAGTACCACAGGTGGACGCCAGCTTGTCTGACCGTGAACCTTTGGCCTTGGGGCCTCAGCCTGGGGTCCGAAAGGGGACCCTCTGTGCTGTGGAAGTGGTGGCCTCGGCTTTGTTCCCCTAAAGGCTTCCCTCAGCCCCCGGTGCCCCACATGCAGCAGGTGGGCGGGGAGGCCTGAGAGCTTCCCCGTCACACTCACAAAGCAGCAGCCCCAGCAGGCCACGCGCAGGCCAGCTCGTTGATTGGGCCCAACACTGCCCGACTTCCTGGTCCTCTCAGATTCTCTGAAAGAAGCGTGATTTTTGAGCTCCAGCCTGTCCCAAGGCTACCCTCTTGTGGCACGCATGCAGCCAGGCCCGCAGAGAGAGACCCTGAGCCGGGGCTTCAGTGTCAGGGGCAACATTCGGAGCCAGCTGAGCCCCCCGCCCCGGCCCACAGAGATGACCTCCACCCTGGAGTCTCAAGCCGGCGGTGCCCTCCCGTGGGCAAGGTACGCTGTGCTCTGCCAGGCTGGCCACCCTCCTCTCTCCTCTCCACTGCTGGCCCCAAGCCTGGAACCACCCTGGCCCGAAGCTGAAGACCTCTCCATCCCCTCGAACAAGACTGGCCAGACACCCGCTGCATAGCAGCCACGCCGGGACCAGGCAGGGGAGCGACGCTGTGAAGGCCGCCGTGCTGGCAGGGCCAAGGCTGCTGCTTCAGGAGCAAACTCAGAAACAAGACGGCGGGGATGCAGGTCACCTTTAGATCGAAGATTAATCCCCTTATAGGAGGAACAGGATACAGCTGTAACTGGACCACCGCGGACAGCCCGAGGCACGTGCCAGTGCCGGCCTGCGGAGCTGCTCCCCGCTTCTCTGCCGGGCCAGGACACTGGTGCCGACCAGCCCGCTCCCCCGGCTCAGGGCCACATGCCGGCTGAGCAGATGATCAGGGCTCAGCGGTCCTGCCGCTGGCATCACTGTGATCCCCGAGGCAACACGCCTGCACGCGTCAGGCGCACCCCTGCTCCGTGGACCGAAGCTGTTTGCAGCCCTGGCTTGGCACGCCTGCCGCAGAAGAGAGGCGACCGCGCACACACCTGTATGTTCCCTGGGCCCAGCGGAGGGAAGTCAGGCAGGGTCCCTGGGAGGAGGCCAGGACCCCAACCAGGCAGAAGAGAGGTTCGGGCACGGAACTGGGACCCGGCCGGGCTGGCGGGAATGGGAGTCCACGGAGGGCCCCTGGGTGCAGTCCCGTGGGAGGACAGGAGGTCGGGGCCACTCCTGGTGTCTCGTCTGACGAAGGGGCCGTGGACGAGACCTGGTGCGGGCGCTGCAACTGGGTGCTGGTGCCGGAGGAGGCGTGGGGGAGATTTGGAGAGCGGAGACGCAGCGAAAGCGTGAGAGGAAGGCGGCCACCCCAGCCAGCGAGTCTGGAGGTGGGCCCGGAGGAGGCGACGCAGGAGGGCAGCCGGACAGGACAGAGCCGGGAGGACGAGACAGCCGGGAGGACAGGACAGCCGGACGGGACAGAGCCAAGAGGACAGGACAGCCGGGAGGACGAGACAGCCAGGAGGACAGAACAGAGCCGGGAGGATGGGACAGAGCCGGCAAGGGGTGGGGGGGAGGGAGTGAGGGCGCAGAAGAGGGCAGGCCCGGGAGCCTCGAGGGGCCCAGCGGGCAGCAGCGCGGGCAGCTCTGACCAGGAGGTGTCAGGTAGGCCCCAAGGACAGGGCGACAGGACCAGCCTGTTCCTAAGGCCAGCCTGGACAAGAGGCCACTGGGGTCCTTGCTCGTCCTGACCCCTGGAGCTGAGAGGGCTGCAGCAGGTGATGGGGCCATCAGAAGTTGGATTATTAATCCTGCCACCTGGGGAGAATGTGGCAGCTTTCAGAATGAAAAGCGCCAGACGCTCCACATTCGGTACCACCAGGGAAGGCCCACGGAGGCACCGGAGAGGAGCCCAGCCGCTCAGGGCCTACCTGGCCTCTTCTCTCCTGCCTCTGGGAGGGGCAGGACCACAGAGAGGGCCCTTCCTGGAATCCTGGTCTCTGCGCTGGCAGCCGTTCCAGTTCCTCTTTCTCTGGAAGGAAGTGAACAGAGCTGGTAACTGGAAAGAGCCCAGCCCAGCCCAGCCCAGCCCAGCCCAGCCCAGCCGTGTGGAGGTGGGGAGCCAAACCATTGTTCTCAGGCCCCCTCCTCACAGGGCCTGGGGGTGGGGAGGAGGGTCTTGTTCCCAGATTCCTGCACTTGCAAAACCAGAGCACAAAGGGAAGTGGGGGGACTGCAGGCGGCGAGCGGGGGAGGCAGGGCCAGTCTGCGGCCAGCAGGGCAGGGCATCCTGCAGTAGCAGCACCGGGACCTGGACAGGGAAGGACGGCCGCCCCCACCACCGTCCTCGGGATACCCGGCTGGGCTTTGAGCGGGCCTGACCGGCTGCCCTGCCGCCGGGGTGGGCAGTCACTTCCTGACACGACCGCTGCTCTCCCGCCAGGCTCACTGCTGCTCGGCAGGTCTGGGGGTGTCACAGTGCCACCTGCCAAGCGTCCCCAAATGGGATCCCCAGCTCCCCTGCAAGCCCACAGGCACTGCCCGCGCAGTCTTGAGCCAGGTGGCCCCCCACCCCCGGCCTGCAAGTGTCCCAGTGACACGTCCCCTCGGTGCCAGCGGTGTCACCCGTCTGCTTCCTTCCCTTCTTCTCACACTGCGTGCCCACGCAGGTGAGGACGGCCCTCCCCACTTCAGAAAACGCCAGGCACCTTCCTCTGTGCATGAGGCGGCCCCCCCAGCAGGTGTCCCTGCCCTGGGCCCTCTGAATGACACCTGGAGACGAGGGGCCTCCAGGAAGAATGTAGGGACAAGAAGCAAAGATGGACGGAAAGCAAGTGCAAACTGGTACTTTTAGCTCGTGATCTGCACCTGAAATCATAAGTGTCCTCACGGTTCATAACTAAGAGGATGCACACAGAGCTGCTTGTAGCACATGGGGCAGGGTTTCTAAGTTCTGTGTTTATGAACTGCCGGAACACAAACTCGGGCAGGTTCTTAATCTAAAACCCGGCACTGACTGCTGAGACACTCACAGGCCCTCTCGGGCCGAGTGAGCCGCCGTACGAGCGCGTGAGGCTGCGAAGGAAATTCTCAGTAGGTTGTGACCCCACGTGACCACCTCCCAAGAGCTGAGCCATTTTTCAGCCAGGGCAGGGCCACCACCTCCCAAGAACTGAGCCATTTTTCAGCCAGGGCAGGGCCACCACCTCCCAAGAACTGAGCCATTTCTCAGCCAGGGCAGGGCTGCTGGCAGCAGCTCTGCCCCTCCTCCGACAGCACTCCCCCTGCCCTCCTTGGCCGTGGCCCACGAGCCCGCAGGGCCCCCCCTTCCGTCCTTGGTTTCCGAGAACCTCTGCTCAGTTGACTTCCCCTGGCTGAGCCCGCCCTCCACATGGATGGGGACCCCCAGGAGGGGCAGGGGTGCCAGCGGACCCGCCGTGGGGCCATGGGGGGAGCCAGAGGGCAGGGCCGCCCAGCCCACACGCTGGTCCTTCCAGACACAAACCTCGCGCCTCAAACGGGCTGGAAACAGAGAGGGAAGAGCCGCTGCGCCCGCCCTGGGAGGAGGGGCGTCGCGAGAACCCGCAGATGGACGCCCATGCATGCGGAGGTGCGGCCCAGGCACCAGGAGACGTGGTGGGGCCTGGAGTGAGGCAGGGCAGGCGTGGCGGGAGAGTGAGAGTGCGTGGACGGCAGGAGGGTAGGGACTGAGGCCCGGGGGCCGCTGGACGTCCTGCAAGCCGTGTGAGGCCGGAGTGGAGGGGGACCAGGCCGCAGGCTGGTCACAGCACACACAGGCCGCTCTGGTGGACCGGCTCCCCGGCCCCCAGCCACTTTCCAGGCCGTGGCTCAACAGGCAGGAGCCTGCAGGGATTTGGGACGGAGATGGGAGAGAGGGCACCAGCACTGAGTCGGCAAGAAGAGGACGCAGAGGGCCCCGAGGACCCCCACGAGGGCGTGTCACCTGCCTGGAGCTCCCGCCGGCTCCCCCGACCCCAGGGCTCTGGAGGGAGGATCCGTGTCCCTGCAGCGGCCGTGCCCCTCCCAGACGTGACAGAGCCGGCAGGCGGGCAGCAGCTCGGGACCTGCGTCACCCCGACCCGGCACACCTCGGCCCAGAGGCAGGATGGCTGGCAGGGTGGAGCAGGGGGATCGCAGGATTCCGCGACTGATGTGGGAAACCAGGGATGTGCCGGCAGGGCTGCAGCTCCCACCGAGGGGGCTGACGGGGCCGCCGGAGGCCAGACCTCGGGTTCACCCCCTGCTCTACACGCTTTGTCACCGTGGCCCACGCCGTCACCACCCATCACCAAAAGGTGACAGCAGGCACGTCATGGCTCCAAGAGCTGTACGTTTCCCTGGCAAATGAGGCCAGGGAGGCTCCCGTGGCCGGTAGGGTCCTCACAGCTTCCAGCCATGCCACCTTGCGACCACAGAAAACACGCATGCGGCAGTTTCTGGCCGTCGCGGCTGGTTCAGGGGGCAGGGAGGGGCCCAGGTCCGGTCGAGGGCAGGACTCACGCGCTGCTCTCCCCACAGCCCGCCATGTGGAGCTGCCCACTCAACGGCACCGGCAGCGAGGACCAGCTCCCCTGCCAGCACGTCCAGCGGGCCCTGTCCGCCCTCTCGCTGCTCTACCTGCTCGTCGGCGTCCCCCTCGGCCTCGGCTACAACGCCCTGCTGCTGCTGGTCAACCTGCACGACGCGGGCGGGATGGCCATGCCCGACGTCTACTTTTCCAACATGGCCGCGGCCGGCCTGGTCCTCGGCGCCCTGGCGCCTGCGCACCTGCTGGGCCCCGGCGCTGCCGGCTGGGCCGTGTGGGACGCAGGCAGCGAGGTCCACGTCTCGCTGCTGGTGCTGTTCAACGTGGCGGCACTGGTGACCCTGTACTCCACGGCGCTGCTGGCCCTCGACTGCTACATCGAGCGGGCGCTGCCGCGCACCTACATGTCGAGCGTCTACAACACCAGGCACGTGTGTGGCTTCGTGTGGGGCGGTGCCCTGCTCACTGGCTTCTCCCCCCTGCTCTTCCATATCTGCGGCCACGCGGCTGCGAGGCTGGCCGAGTGCTCCCAGGTGCGGCACACGGAGGCGGCCGACGCCATCATGCTGCTCAGCGGGTACCTTGTGCCCGGCCTGGCCGTGCTGTACGCGCTCGTGCTCCTCACGCGGATCCGGAAGGAGGACACGGCACTCGACCGGGACGCGGGCCAGCCGGACCCCTCGGCGCACAGGCTGCTGGTGGCCACCGTGTGTGCGCAGTTCGGGCTCTGGACGCCCCACTACCTGACGCTCCTGGGGCGCACGGTCCTGGCTGCGCGGGGGAGGCCAGCGGACGGGCACCACCTGGGGGCGCTGCTCCTCGCCAAGGACCTGTCCAGGTTCCTGGCCTTCGCCAGCAGCGCTGTGGTGCCGCTTCTTTACCGCCACATCGACAGAAACTTCCCCGGCAAACTCCGACAGCTGATGAGGAAGCTGCAACGTGGGCACCAGAGCTGCTCCTTGGACGAAGCGGGGGCACAGCCGGCGATGGCGTAGACGCTGCTCCACGGGCCTCGGCCAGCCGGCGTGTGGCAGAAGGCACAGCCCGCAGTGAACGGGTGCCCCGCGCCCGCTGCTTGCTCCCTCTCTCCCTCCGTCCCTCCCTCCCGGGTCTGGCATCCAGGAGACTTGCTGGCCCTGCATCACACGCTCCCTCCCTCCCTCTCCCCAGTAGACCAGGCAGCACCAGGCGAGGCCCCTTGGAGCTTCCCGTGTCCTCCCACAAGAAGCCACCCTCAGGTCAAGGCCATGATGTCCGAGCAGCAGGTGCCAGGTGTGAGGATGAGCTGTGCCATCGGGGCACCTGGCCCCCCGCGGGGTGTGTGCTTGTCTCCTACGGGCGCCTTTCAGGTCCACGGCTGCAGCAGCCTGCTTCCCTCAGCCTCATGTCTGGCTTTCAAATGAGTGATGAAAATCTAACGCCACTATTTATACTTTGTATTGTTAAAATACTCCATCCCCCCTCCCTCTTGTTTTGTTGTTTATGAAGAGATGTTTGGTAGGAAAGTCAGAAGGTATCAAAATGAAGCAGACACACGGAAGCGCACTCGGCGGATGGGTGGGTGGTGGGCTCGTGGGGCCGGGGCTGCTGGCGACTTGTGTCCACGTGGACGTGGTGGGAGAAGAGCCCAGACGGGGCCTCTCCTGACCCCAGGTGCCCCCGGGTCACGTCCGCTGTCGCTGGGCCAGCGTGGGTCTGTCCTAAAGAAGGCCCCAAGGTGCACAAAAATAAACCGAAGGAAGAAAAGTGCTGTTAGGATTTCTAACCTAACCCGAAAGCGGATGGGACTGCCGACGGGAAAGAGGGATTTGGACGGGCGGGTGTCAGCGGGGCCACAAGGGTGCTGCCTGCTCCCGGGACAGATAGACAGACCAGACGACCTGACCAGACGGGGCGGGGTGCAGAGGAGCCTCCCTTCCCCCACCCCAAGTCTTCACGAAGAAATTACCGCCCCACAACCCTCTGACCCTCAGTTCTGAAACCCCCAAACTCCCTAGAAACAAAGATTCATTTTTTCAAGATCACAGCAAAGGTATGAGGGTACCTTTCTGAGGAAAGATGAATGTGATGGTGGGCGCTGCCCCAGCCCCTGGGCTTCTGCCACATAAATACATGCATGTTCACTTCTGACCACCCAGCTGCCCCGAGGAGGAGGCTGGCTCTTTTCTGTGGCATCTACCGGGGAAATCGCCCCCATTTGGTCCCGGTCTCTTGGGAAATTGAGCCCTGAGTGAGCTGCATTGCTTTTCTACGTGCAGACTGTTTCCCCTCCAGGCTGAAGAGCCTGTTGTGCAAAATCACAGACACACACTGGATGCCGGGGATGGTCCCCGCCCTGCCTGATGTGGCCCTGGGGATGGTTCTGGACAGTAAACCTCGGGGATGGGGAGGGAGGGACTGAAGAGGTGTCTGGGCGGCTCAGGTGGGTCGGTGACAAGAGCACAGCCGCCTCCAGGGCCCCGGGCTGTGGTGGGATTTGTCTTCAAATTCCCCATCCCCTCGGCTCCTCCAGCAGCTGCCCCAGCAGTAGGCTGTGCTGAGGGCGCCCCGCAGGGTCCCGGCAGGTACGGCAGCCCCGTGGGAGCTGAGAATAAAAGCCCCCCCACCCCTCCGCTTCCCTTTCTGCTCTTTGCTCCCACGGCTCCTGGGAAAAGGTAAACCCCCAGCGCCCAGATCTCTGCCTGCAGTCCTGCACCGCTCAGCCCAGCTCATCTTCCCCAAACAGGACGGGGGGGCGGGGGGGCCTGAAATCACTTTATTTCCGATCAGTTTCTCAGTGGCTTTGGTTGCCAGCTGTCTAGTCTCTGGGGGCATCCTGGGTTGGGAAGTGTCAGACAGCGGCAGCCACGCGTTTCTGTCCTCCCCCGTCCCGGCGTCCACCTCTACTGGTGACAGAGGGACACAGTGGGGTCTCAGCTGCAGGCCCCTCTGCTGCATCTCAGACCCCCCCCCAGGGCCCCCGCACCTCAGGGCACAAACCCACCTTTGCCTCGGCCGCTGGTGCCACAACACAGAACCTACTTTCTGTGGACATTTGCTTGATGATCTCATGCTGAATTCACCTCGGTCACTTCCTGCTGTCCCAGTATGTTTGGTTTGATTCCCAGTACTCCTGCCACATTGCCAAAAAATGCAGTGAATTTCTGAGCCGTTCTGATTTTTGGGCTCGGGGTGGTATGGCCATAGACTCGAGCCATTTAGAAGAGAAGGAGGAACTACTTGGAAAAAGCCAAGGTGAATGGTACACTCAATCCTTTTTTTTTTAAATCTGCGTGTTTTAATTAATTTATTTATTTTGGCCGCACGGCATGTGGGATCTTAGTGCCCTGACCAGGGATTGAACCCATGCTCCCTGCAGTGGAAGCAGAATCCTAACCACTGGACCACCAGGGAAGTCCCCTCAATCCTCTTTTCTTAACTTACCAGTCCTATATTCTTCAAATGCATTTGCAAGATACCAGAAGTTTTCCACTTTATGTTCTAAGTTCGTTAATTCTGCTTCTGACACTTCTTGACTATGAATTTAAAGTTAATGATCTTATTTTCGTCAGTAGACAAAAGGTCACCTATCTTGCCATGCTTCATTATTTAAGATCCCAAAGGTGGGTTTAACCTTGAATTTATTTCATGAGGGTTATAAAATTTAGTGTAGGAAACTGGATCTTTTGCTAATTGTGGCAGATACATCAAGATATCAAACATTTGTTCCATTATAAAAAGCACTTGAGGGGCTTCCCTGGTGGCGCAGTGGTTAAGAATCCGGCTGCCAATGCAGGGGACAGTGTCGGCTTTGAGACCTGGTCCGGGAAGATCCCACATGCCGTGGAGCAACTAAGCCCATGCCCCACAGCTACTGAGCCTGTGAGCCACAACTACTGAGCCCACATGCCACAACTACTGAGGCTGCATGCCCTCAACTACTGAAGCCCGTGCACCTAGAGCACGTGCTCCGCAACAAGAGAAGCCGCTGCAATGAGAAGTCTGCGCACAGCAGCGAAGACCCAACGCAGCCCAAAATAAATAAATAAATAAATATTTTTTTAAAAAGGCACTTGACAAAGGATAAACCAGGAATGAGTCATTAAGAAGTTAAACTACACATCAAGTTCTTGAATTTAAAGTCAGTTGGGAAATTTGGGGGCTTTCTCATTTCTAACCTGTTACGCCCACCCACGTGGCCTGAATTGCTGCATGTGTGCCTGAGAAAGAGGCAACTGCTGAAGACGACCCACAGGTTTGAAGATTAAGTGACTTGATCGTTATTAGCCAATTTCTGAATTCTTATGTGTGTATTTCCAGGGGTGTGTGACATGTCGGCAAACAGCAGAAAGTATCACAAAAACAGGTTTTTCCTGTCATGACTTAAACTCCAGCCTCTTCAGTTACTCCGTGGCTCCTCTGTCCTCTTCACAGCTGACCCTGCACCACGTGGGTCTGGACGCCCGCAGCCGTGGGGGCCCGTAAGTCCTACGTGGATCAGCCGGCGAGACGTCCAAGGGCCCATGGTGCGCCCACGGGGCCAACGGCGGTCGGGTCCCACATGCCTGCGTCACTGCGGGGCCAAAGCCGCGGTACAGACGGTGACAGAGCATCTCACTCCCGCTCTGCACGTCACACACACAACCCTCCAAAGGGGACAGACACACACTGGCCTCGCTCAGGGCTCCCGCGAGGCCAGGGCTCCTCGGAGGGCTGCTTACACGGCTGTGCCATCTGTCAACACTCCTCGCCCTGGACACTGAGAACCCAGCGATTCCTTCACGCCTGTGGGTTTCTCAGCTGTTCCATGGGGAGAGGGGGCAGGGCCACTGCAAAACCGCCCGCCCTTACCACCACGTGAGCCCACGAGGCAGGTCGCCGATGGACTGCGCTTTTAGGTTCTAAGCAGGATAACAGGCGGCTGGGTGACCGACCGCCAGCCTCCAAGCAGGCGTGTTCGCGGGGCGCCCTCCAGTGGCCGCCGCGGCCCTTCACTCTCTGCGCAGGCGGGCCTGCGGGACTGGCCCCGGGCAGCTCCTAACAGCGTGAAGCGCTGACCCCAGACGAGGAGGAGGCCCCGTCCCGCGTCCCGGAGTTTCCCAGAGTTTCCTTCAGAAGTCGGGCTGTGCAGATGCTCTGGCCCAGGAGGCTCTGGGCTCTCAGAACTCACAGCAAATCCTGCTTTTACAAGACACGCCCTCACAGCAGTGGAGGTGAGCTCAGCCCATGGGGTGCCGCTCGGCGTGCGCGCGCACGCACACGTGTGCGCACGCACATGCATGCACACGCACAGCCCCCAGCGGCACTGAGCCCATGGGGCCCGGCTTTCACGGGGGCAGCCCGACACTGGACTTCATGCCGAATCTCTGACCTCCAGCAGTCGGGTCACTAACGCAGAGCACTGCACGCAGGGGCCGAGCCACGGCAGGAAGGTAAAGAGTGAGCAAAGCAGTCAGATAACATGGACTTGTAAAAAGTGCTGGAGCTTTTGTAGAAAAACTTTTTATCAAGAAAGAGGCAACAGTGACTGGTGGAACGGGAAGGGGCCTGCTTACGACGGCCAGATGCCAGACCCGCGGGGACTGCCTGTCACCTGTGCACACAGGAAGTTTCCAAATCTACAGAGGGTCACACGAAGGGTCAGGGTTCCTTAGAGATGTGGCCTCGGGCATCTCTCTTCACCAGAAAGCAAGAAAGGGCTAGAAGACGAATGGGTCGTGTCAACAGGACCGGGAGCTCTCCCCTCAGCCTCGCTTGGGACTATCTGAGCGTAAAAACAACAGTGAGCGTGGAATTAAAAGTCTATGCAGGGCTTCCCCAGTGGCGCAGTGGTTGAGAGCCCGCCTGCAGGGGACGCGGGTTCGTGTCCCGGTCCGGGAGGATCCCACGTGCCGCGGAGCGGCTGGGCCGGTGGGCTATGGCCGCTGAGCCTGCGCGTCCGGCGCCTGTGCTCCGCGGCGGGAGGGGCCACGACGGTGAGAGGCCCGCGTACCGCAAAAAAAAAAAAAAAAAAAGC